GATATTTTATTTCATTACAAATATAAAACTTTCCCCCTTTATTCCAAATGACATTATCGCATCAGGTCACTATAATATGGTTAACTTGTACTAGAGTTACTCCATTTTCTCTGAATTTTTTGGATAATGTAATAAAATCTGAGATTTGTAGGGTGTTAGTTTCCCCTTTTGCCGCTACTTCTGTAACTATTTATTTTTAGTGAGGTTAATTTAAACGTATCCTGAATCTTTACAGTTGCAACATTTTTTGTACACTAGAATTTTTATTATTTTCCCTCTTTCCTCTACAGATACATGGAGATTTTGTCCTAATTAGTGGGGACACTGTGAGCAACATGTCGCTTACTCAGGTGCTTCAAGAACATAAAGAGAGAAGAAAAAAAGATAGTAATGCTGTGATGACAATAGTTATAAAACGGTCAAAGCCTTCTCAGATCACTCATCAATCTCGACTTGGCACTGATGAACTGTTTATGGCAACAGATCCTAATACAAAGCAGCTTTTATATTATGAGGACAAGGCAGACGATACAAAAAGGATCTATCTATCTCGATAAGTTGTTGATCGCCGAGAATCCTACAATTACTTTACACAATGATAAACAGGTAACATCTCAGCCCTGCCCTTGAAATTTTGTGGTTGTTTATTAATCTCTGTAGAAAGTCTACTTGATCTTTTTGTAGTGATCCTCAATAAATCTTAATTGTTTTACTGTCATCTGGTGAGGTCTTTCATTGTAATGTGCCTGTTGAAGGATCTTGCGGATGTTCGATTACTCTATCAGGTCTACATTTGTACTTACCCCGTAAAATAAATAACCATAATAAAAAGTTGATCTCTGACATGGAATTTGTGTGAATATCAAAACAAAAGAGATTTGAAAAGACTCCTAATTCAGAAATTTAGGACCATTTAGTTTGCAAAATCTCTTTTGCTAATTCTTCCCAAGCATTACCAAATGAGATGAAGCAAAGTAGCCTTATCCATGATTCAAGATTGACCCTGATTGCTTCTGTAATTAATGGAACTGAACCTTGAATCACACCTGTAGGTTTATTTGATTCATCAGTTCACCTGTATTAGGATATTATATTCAGTATAAACGCTTATTAGAATCTGTAGTGAGCTGTAGTTTTAGTTTTGGCTCTCATGTTTCTCACTACTCTTGAAGTTAAGGGAAAAAAAAAAATTCTTTCCTGTTATTTAGGACTTACAGTTGATAGATTTTTTGAATTCTCTTAGGGTAGAAATGGGTTTAGGGCATGGGTCTCATATTATCAAAAGGCTGTTTTATCTTCTTGGGGCAATGTGGCTGATGATGCCCTTGGTGTGAATCTATTTTGCAGAATCACCATTCACATTTTTATTTGTGTTTGTATGGTGTGAATCTATTCTAACAACTATTCCACCAACTTTTTATTGTTAAAATCTGCAGGATTGCCATATTGACATATGCTCTCCTGAAGTCCTCAGCCTTTTCACAGACAATTTTGATTATCAACATCTACGTCGTCACTTTTTGAAGGGATTGCTTCTTGATGATGTATGTCTTGTATTGGACATCTCTTTGTTTTATTCTGTGTTTATAGTTTACCTTGCAATTCTTCTAAGGGAACCATCTATCCATTCAGATTATGGGTTACAAAATATTCACTCATGAAATTCACTCGAGTTATGCGGCTAGAATTGACAACTTCCGAAGCTACGATACAGTTAGTAAAGACATAATTCAGAGATGGACTTACCCATTGGTGCCAGATGTGAAGTTTTTTGGGAATTCTTCAATAAAACTGGAAAGACAGGGGATGTATCGAGCATCAGGTAATGTTCAGTATATTGATGTGACATATAAATCGCATATAATTATTTATGTTTTTAATTTACTTTCTTTTGGTTTTGTTTTGTTTTGTTTTGTTTTTTTTTGGGGGGGGGGGGATTACTTAGGGGCGGGGGGAGGGGTTGCTATTGACTGTGGACATCTTGATGAATGTTGTTTAGATATTTAGTGTTCCATCCTGTTTTATTTTTTTAAATTATTGTATTCTATCACATTTAACCAACATTCTACAACCATGGTTTGGTTCCAACTTCCAAGTGATTTTTCACAGTTATGTTGGCTGTCTTCATAAAGTCATTTGTTGGATAATTGTTCTTTGTGCCAATTCTTCAAATTCGCATCATAAATGCTCTGTGTCATCCTTTCCTACCTTTACGATCTGCCCTTCCCTATCGAAAGTAAGATTTGATCACCTAGTATTTGGTATAATTATAACGTTAAGAGACTTTACGAAGGCCAATGCTTATAAAATAAGTTGACTTTATTTCCTAAGGTCCTTGCATGCATAGATATATTGTGACTTAAGTTAAACTAATACTTGACTTCTAATTATAAGCAGTGAACTTAGAAAAAAAAATAAAAATCCCTTACTCAACTGCTGGAATAACTTGGCCTTTATGTACTAAAGTTAGCATTCACTTGCTGTTTATCCAATAGTTAGTAGCATTTAATAAAATTTTGGAAATTTGTTGGGTGATCTGCTCTGTAAACATAATAATAGCATGCCTGGTTGCTCCTGAAATGGTTGTCTGCTATTGTAAACTTAACCGGTTTTCTATTTTTTTATCTTATTATGTGTGATTTGATAAACTAGCTTCTCTTCAGACATAGGGCTATCACGCTCTGCACAGATTGGGCCTTTTACAGTCATTGGGAGTGGCACCAAGATTGGGAACAACACCAAAATTACAAATTCTGTTATTGGGGAAGGGTGCTCTATTGGATCAAATGTCTCAATAGAAGGCTCCTATATATGGGATACTGCCACCATTGAAGATGGCTGCAAGCTGAGGCATGCTATTGTATGTGATGGAGTGATAATGAAGTCTGGAGCAGTTTTGGAACCTGGTGTAGTTTTGTCTTTCAAGGTACGTGCCTTTAATCCTGTTATAGCACTATTTCAAACTGTCAAATGTTAGTTCTTCTTTCTTGTCTATATAATGCTCAAAAAGAAAAAACTGAAGAAAATTGTACAATACAGATAGTAAGCAGTTTACTGGCCCATATATATAGTTTGAATCTTTTTACAGCGTTATAAATTCATTTGGACTTGTATTCTAGTGCTGATAAGATCTTTAAAATCTGTTGATGTTAAAATTAAGTTCTGAAATCAAAAGATTTATAACTTATATTCCCTTGATGTTAAAATTGTGCCTTGTTATCGTTTGCAAACTCCATGTTTAAATAGCATTTTCAGTTTGCAGTGTATTTGTCATTTCGTCCTGAGAAATACCTGTATTTCTCTCTTTTACTGTTCTTTTGATGTCATGCTCGATATTTTCTTAGAAGGAAATGTGAACCTTTGCCTGCTCAAATTTAGTTTGTCCTTGCAAATTGATCTTTCCTTTTTGTCTGGATTTGTATGAGCCAAATACATACATTTTGCATGTGGTTTTCTGAAGTCTTATCGATCTTAATGTGCTTTTACACTGTTTACCTTCAGGTTGTTATATAGGACAAAAATTTATTGTCCCTTCATACTCAAAGGTATCTCGGCTTCAGCAGCCAACTAAGCTAGATAGTGACGATGAGCTGGAGTACGCTGACAATAGCAGCGGGATTGCAGAAATGTCATGTAATGTTTTCAAATTTTTTTCCTAAGCTTCATGTTTGTTCTTGTTGAGTTCTGTTATGTGCAAAAGAATGGCCTTAGCCATGTGCGATACTTTTAAGGCATCTGCTTTTTATTAGTTAGTCATATTGCTGCTCTTTAGATACTACAGATAATTAGCAGTAAATTT